GGTACATGCAGGTTCCTCAAATAGGACTGAAGCTTTCTAACTTCAAGATTGAGGCCACAATATAAAAAACTTCTGCAAAATTTGCAATGAGTCTGCATAATGTGAGTACCATAACAGAACTGAATTTTTAAATTGATGTTTGCCAAGCTGACCTTCAACTTGATATACTTTTTTTTAAACCATATTTTACTATATTTAGATAAGAAATTACAGAAAAAATTAACTGTGAAGCTTAAAAAGAGAGCATACAGATGGCAACCATAAAATACTGAAAAGCAGTTTAAAATTTTCAAATAATCTTTATGAACTTGAACACTTGCATCTTTTTTTTGCCTACTACTGGGTTATCAAATAATATGGAAACTTCAAAGTTTATATTACTTTAAGTGAAGAAAAATAGTTTTTAGTCAGTCTTAAATTTCAAATGGCTATAATATGGATGAGGTCAATAAATAGTGTTGGCATACTGGAGAGCTGTATGGAAGCAGTTGTTCTCCTTAGGAAATTCAAACCCAGAAAGAGCTCTAAGAAAAATAAGCCGTCACCATTACAGAAGGACCTCTGGGCTTCACAGGGAGCATTGCATAGAAGCCCCAAGGGCCCACTGATGTTACTGTCACTCTAACAAAGGACAGAGTTGTCTTGCATGATGAGAAGTGACAAAGTTCTCTATCTTGTCTGATGTCTTAAAACAATCACCTGAGTATCCCATAGAAAATTAACAGGAGTATTTTTTTTAATAATTTTTTTTCTCCTTCAATTGAATGCATCTTTAACAAAAATATTAGGCTACTTTTAGGTAGATAGTATAGTGGTCACATGGCAGACAGAAATAGAAACAGGATTTCTCAAACTGAATAGGTGAACCTATTGCTCCACTCTTTCCAAGCTGCCAACCACGGGAAAGGAGGCCTGGTGACAGTGTGAGCAGACTTTTCTCAATAACATGAGCCACAAGTTCAAAATGGCATAAATGTCTGATGCACAGCTGACTCAGGACAGAGCAGAGAGTTGGCATTATTCCAGGGATGTGAATTACAGACTGACTAATCAGAGACACACCCAGTAAGATTATCTTCAAATACCTCTTTCTTACTTCATAAGGAAAAGAATGTTTTCATTTGAATATTTCCAAGACTGCTATCATCAGATGAGTAACTGTGAAACTACTAACGCATATCACTAGCTGGATATGCCTCAACTAAGTATGTTTAGAGAACAGAAACAATTCTGCTGGAACCACAGACAAGAGAGGATTACGGATATTTATGCAGGGGCAAATCTCATATTTTTTTTAAATATATAGTAAGGTAGTCCTCATGAATACTAATAAACACCAAAGATAAGAGACAGATTAATGAATACTATTAATAAAATTCATAGATAATTATAACAAGGAGCTGAAATCATCTTATTGTTGATCCTTCTACTAATTAGAAAAAAACAAAAATTAGATTTTGTTCCCATCTCACTATTTAGTAAAGCCAAGAGAAATTATGTATCTGAGGTATACAGTGAAAGAATTCCTATAACAGATTTCAACCAGAGAAATTTCCTTTAGCCTTCAACTCATTAGAGCCTACAGTCAATCAAACTAAATGATACTAAAATGATTAACAGAAGATATTAACTTCAATAGTCAATCAGATTAAAAGGCAATGAATGCACATAACTATCCTCTTTACTCAGATGTATATCTTGCCTGCAACCCCAATGCAGAGTTTACCCCCAATTTAGACTATCTCAAATGTCAGTACACTGCCAGTTGGGTGAAAGCTATAATAAGCTCACTTCCTCCAACACTTGACTTTGATATTTCAGAATGCCTGTTCAAAGAGGATAAACTACTACTAAAGGATAAAAGACTCCTGAAATTACCAGACAAAATAACAAGAAAATTCTTAAATGGGGATAATGAATTAAGATGCTTAGAGATTTTTAATAGGTAATAAGTAGACTCTATATTTCACAAGAATCGGTAATTTTTCTGGCAGTGAACCAAAGAGAAGTCAGCTTTTTCCTGTAAGAAAATGAATTCAGATTTTTAAAATAGCCTCATCATATTTCAGCCAAAACTTGAGATCTCTTATGGGGTAAAATAGTCTCAAAGACAGAAAGCTTACTATATTTCCCATTAATTTAGAAGTCAGGGCTTATAATACCAGGCCTCTGAACAGCTGATTTTGCTTTCCTCTTGGGCATTATAACTCAGGTGGATGTGATCAGTGATGCCTGCTTAATCGTTTTGTAGACCAACCGGCTAGGCTTCCTTCAGTTATAGATCTATTCAGAATGTAGTTACCTGGACTTTTTGCCCCCAACACTACACCTTGTAAATTAAAATGCCTTCTTTAACCAGTGGCTATAAACAATGTGATTGACAATTAAGAGAAATATTTTTTCAATACAAACATCACGCAATATTTTGGCGTCCCACCATAAACTACAATTGCTGATTAACACAACGTAATATCTACTTATGCTACTTTTGGGAAACACTCATTTAAAGAATACTGGGTACTAAACAGATTGATTAGACTTACCAGGAAATGCACAAAACCCCACACTGGTGTTATTTCAACTAGGAAACAATCTAGGAATGAGCTTTTAGAAGTTTGTAAATTGAAGTGACTTTTTAAAAAATCAATTTATTTCTAAACATGCATCCAAATGCTTGCCATGACAATTAAGGTAGAGCTTACATATTTATCCTAACAGTGTTGCTTGTGGTCAAAACAGTTTTCAATAACCTCGAATATCCTCACTGGTAACAATATGCTCACCCTTTAGGTTGGGTATAGTTTTTAGAAATCACCTCAAATCATTCAGAGTCCAGGCTGGTACATGAATTGCATTCAAAATCAACAATTTTGTCACTATCAAATATGTCTAATGGCCTAGGTATGGAGGTGATGCCAAAAAAGAGGGATCCCTAAAAATGTTTGCAGCGATAGTTCATCACTGTAAGTATGTAAGTATCACTGTAAGTCACTTCTTTGAAAGATCATCTATTTGGGCTACTATGTTCTCACATACCTAAAAACAACTGTGTTCATAGGTGCACTTCCTACATAAACCCATCCAACTCCTATCCTGACTTGTGAGGCTTACAATTGACATCAGTTATTTTGCTGCAAACCTCTAAATCATCCATACTCACAGCTAAAATAATTTTCATATCACATGCATCTTTCTAACAGTCATTTTTGCCCTCCATCTTCTGAACACATTAGAACACTATTTTTTTAATCTGTTTCTTTTTTGTTTATTGCAGTAACATTGGTTTATAACATTGTATAAATTTCAGGTGTACATCATTATACTTCTATTTCTGGATAGATTACATCATGTTCACCACCCAAATACTAATTACATTCCATCACCACACACAGGTGCCTAATCATCCCTTTTGTCCTCCTCCTTCCCCCCTTCCCCTCTGGTTACCACCAACCCAATCTCTGTCTCTATGTGGAACACTATTTTAAATCATATAGTTTTCAAATCAAAGTAAAGTAATTTCCTATCAGTGACCAAAGGGGCTGATCACTTGGCCTACTAAAATAGTTTGAACACTATTTGGCACGGACGATTCTGAATGTGACATCAGAAGAGGACAAGAAACATCCCTTAAACTTTACTTGTGGCCCTTCTTTATACACTTGTCCTATGACATATTAGGTAGAACCACACGAAACTGACATTTCTGCAGGTCACAGATGGTTGAATATGGACAACTTCATATGGTTCAACTTAGTAATAAGGCTTTAAGATAAAGAAATTTGAACACCTACCAAGAGAGCTGATGAGATGGAGACTATTACCTACACAGCCCTCTTCCCAGCAACGACATGTATTTATACAAAGTTTGATAGTGTATAAAAACCTTAATATATATATATATAATTATATATTTATTACATAAATATATATAATTGAACTTTGCAACCCTGTGAATTAGGGAGATCAGATACCCTGATCTCTACTTTACAGATGAGAAAATAAGGCTCAGATGTTAACTCATTTGCTCAAATGTCCAAAAGTAATTGAGCAAGGAATTAAACCTAGGCCCTTTGACTCCTGATCTTCCCTGCAAATAACCTCCTTTAAAAGGATAATCAAAATCATCTAAGTACTAGCACATACACTCCCAGTGCTTACATGTGGACAGATTCCATAAATACCTAAGAGATAAGTGTCCAGATTGGAATACTCAAGTGCTTTCAAAAATGTGGGTGCGTACTCAAGTACATTCTTATAATTTATTTGCTCACTTCTGCAGCCTGCATCCTCACCCAGGACTTTATCCTCACATCCCACAGGCCCTCCTGCCCCTCACCCCAAAGGTCACATATCTGGTTAACTGTACATAAAACATTACACTAAACATACAACGCAGGGCTCATTCCATCAATCACAGCACCAGCCTATTTTACTCATAATAACCAAAGCCTGGGACGTGATTCTCAAAAGTATCATACTAATTTAACAAATGCCCATGACTCAAGTTGATTGTAGTAATGTAATGACTCCACCTAGAGCTTAAAAGAAAAATTTGCTACTGCCTGAATTTATTCTACAATCATCACTATTTATTGATGAAGAAAAACAGTTTATGTGAACTTCTAAATCAGCTAATTCCATACATCAGAATATTCAGATAAAGTGATAGCTAGTGCAATGTAATACGGCTTCCTCCTCCACCACTCACCTCTACTGGCCCATCAAGCAATAATAGAATCTTTCTTGTTTATTAATTAAAAATAATACATATTTCACTAATGCTATCTTTAGATACAGAGATTGATAACCCATTCCTACTATCTGGTAATGTGGGGGTATCAATTTGCAGGATCAAATCTCACCTGACACCAAGAAAATGTATCTGTGACTATGGTGGCCTTGGGGTGGGGGGGTAGGGGAGGAGTGAAGACACCTCATAACACACACACATGAACACACTTTTGCTTTTGAATTACTTTTTGAATGCTTTAAATACTTACTCACACAACAGAACACCATTCTCTAGAGAGGCTCGAAAATCCTTTGTTTCAAAACTCTTCTCTGTTACTGCCTGAAAGACAGATTTGGGTATTAATTTTCTCTTAATTAGAGATAATACACAAGTCAAATTCAGTATTAAATTAATTAATATGCATCTAATGTTATACTTGAAGGATGTACATATCGCCAAAAGTTGTTCCATACAGGAAATTACATGCAGTTCTACGTGACAAAGAGCGAGGCTAACTATCTTAGTACGAACAAATATAAATAGGAAAAAAACCCACAACGATCATTGTCTGTAATATAAACATGTTACAGATGATAAACAAAAGTTAGAAGCTCAATTTCCAACATATTTTCTATAAAAAACTTAGCAGTGATCTATTCTACTAAGAGTACATAAAAGCAGGTTAAGATATAAACTTGAAATACCAACTATATATGCACATCGTTAATTTCAATTTCATCCTTAAATTCCTCGTTTTATTACAAAGCTAAATAGCAGAAGGCATGACTCTCCTTAAAGTTATTCATGTAATGGCCCTGATTTGTGCAAGGAGCTATTTACTGAAACATTCTCAGGAGAAGATTATTAAATCTTGACACAGAGAGACAAAAAACAGAGAGGTAAGATGGTACGTATTTTACAGACAATTCCCCACTTAAAGCTATTACATACGAACAGGCCACCTATGGTTACCACCACAATGTTCTTAGTGAAATCTCCAGAAAAATATCTAGAGATTCTGTCTCTCCAGGGTGGAGTGGTTGGGAGAGAAGGGGATTCCACAGGGGAAGAAGTAGCAGAGAAAATGGAGGCCTGAGTGGGAAAAAGCTGCCCCAAGAACAACTTCTGGGACCGGGTCCCCAGCTAAGTGTGTGCAACATCTTGAGGACATCAGCTGCCCTAAAGATGTAGCCACCACCTGCGAGCAGGAGTCCTTGCTCCACCTGCCTCTTCAGAAAGAAAATATGTTTTTGGACACCTGATTTGGGAAGTCACTAATCGTAAATCCTAGACCAGTTCCAGGGCTCCTCCTGTCTTGACTCACCACTGCTGGCTTTATAAGTCTACCTAGAATCCGTCTGTCTTCTGCACCTTTCCACAATGCCCAACACTGCTACAGCTAGACGTACTATCTGTTAACTGACAAAACAAGGGTTACTTTTAGAATTAGTTTCTCATAAGCTGGTTCTATAAATATGGACAGGAGCGTGGGTCAGGAGGTGACACACTCAAATGCAGGAAGAAATAGAAGACCCTTTCCTATACACGGCATTAATCTATAGAAGGGCTGCATGAATTAAACCTTTGCTGAGTGTCTCTGTTACAGGCACTTACCTGGATACTCGGTGAAGATCTACAAAAAACAAGCGCAGACAGCTCTTCCCCCAAGGAGCTCACAGCCACAGAAGTAAAATACAAAGTTTAAAAGCACAGTAAAATATATCCAAACAGAATGCTACATTCCTTTCGGGAAGTGGCGCATGGATAATGCCAGGTAACCTGTGCAGCACAAACTCTCTGGAATTTTCCCCAAATAGATCCAAAACAAACTCCAGGGGAGCAGTGAACCCAGCTAGTGAAAACATGCTAACATCTCATTTATCTGAGAACTCCTATCCAAGGTCAAAAAGCATGAAAAAGTCCCAGGAACATCCAAAGCAGATGTCAAAGTCCATTCTCTCCGGTCGTAGGAAAGCCCCTCAGAGCCACCAACACTTAATTATCCACCACTGAAACAATCTGGTGATTATGTTCCCAAACCAAGCGAGATTAGAACAGTGATTCAGAAGAAAAGACGTCTGCACCCTACAGACACAGGGAGAGCAGTGAAGAGTGATAGTCAACAGCACTGGATAGGCCAACCAAGAAGGCAGAGTATAGCAAGTGACGAAGTGGAAAGAGAAAGAGTTCAAGACAGACAAAAGTATATTCAAATCCCACTTCCATTACCTAATACCTATGTGATCTTAAGCAAGTTAAATAACCTCTCTGAACTCCAGTCTACTCATCTGAAAATATCACCTACTTATTAGCCTGTAATGGCCAAAATGCTGTGCAATCAAATACCTGAAGGTAGCTGACAGCAGTATATGCTTAACTTCATTACATGCATTGACCTTCCAGTTAACACTTTGACAACACACTCTAATAATTAACCCTCAAAGGAATACCTCTGTACCAGAAGGACAAGGCTGAGTTATATTCAGAACATTAATTAATAAAGTAGAAATAATGGGATTTACAGAGCTATTCAGAAAACCCAACTATCTAGAGTGGTTCATTTCCCCAAAAAGACTATAAAAAGGCAAGTTCAAGGGCCGGCCCCGTGGCTTAGCGGTTAAGTGCACGCGCTCTGCTGCTGGCAGCCCGGGTTTGGATCCCGGGCGCGCACCGACGCACCGCTTCTCCGGCCATGCTGAGGCCGCGTCCCACATACAGCAACTAGAAGG